AACGTCAGCCAAGGCGAGTGAGAAAAGGAAGGGTGCGCCGCTCTACATTGTGTACAATTGCGCGTGTGAGTTCTGCATTGGCAATACCACAACTATATCAACAACCCGCTCGGTGAGGTGAGCATCTACAACATATCATCGATACCAAACCCTCACGCAATATATTATGTATCATTTATTATATAGAGTTCATATACATATATGTATATACAGACACTTTATTTTCCTTTATAAATTTGAAATATCATATATAATATACATATATTATACATTATGTATTATATATTAGATAGAGTTCATATATATATATACATACACACTTTATATAGTATATATATATATAGTATATATACTATTTATACTATATATACTGTATATACTAAATACGATAGATATACTATACTATATATACTATATATAGTATAGTACATATAGGGCATGAAGAAGGAGAGGAACTAGAGATATAGAGATATGTTATGAAGACAAAATAACGGGTTTCACCAGGAAAATGAAGGAAAATGGAGGTTTCCTCATGGAGAGGCGCAGATCCACCCCCACCAAGCACCACAAAAGAATGTGCAAAAAAAAGGCCAAACAAATTCTCCACCCCGTGCTGACCCGCGCGCGGGTGTCTTTACTGCAGAAAGACTGCCATCCGTGGTGTCAGCTTTACAAAGAATACCATTTCAGTTAGTTCTTTGCAAACGTTCCAACCTGAGCCTCTTACGCACCCTTCGCAAAGCAAAAGTGTTCCTAGACATGTCAATGCAGGGCAGGTTGAATAACCTGTGCTGTTGATGGCAGGTAGCAAAGGTACAGAAACCGCTTCTGATCATCGCAGAGGATGTGGACGGTGAGGCTGCGCTTTCAGCTGTAGGAAATCCCGAAGCCCTTGCACCTGTCTTGAGGCCCTGTCGATGCTTATCGTGAACAAGTTGCGGGGTGGCCTCAAGGTACGCTAGATCTGCAGAGTCTAGCTTGGGGCCTTAGGGTGATGCATGCGGCGAGGTGGCAGCAGTGAAAGCACCTGGCTTTGGTGACAACCGCAAAGCGATCCTTCAGGAGTTCAATTCTTGGGACATTGCCATAGTTTCTGAAACGTCGCTGAAAGGATCTCTGCGTGCTAACGGGTGCCGAGCTCATCACAGAGGAGTGTCGATCTGCTTTCCGGTGTTGTGTCAGCGCCATGGTCTCGCGAAGGAGCTCGGTGGAAAGCTAGAGGCTTGCACGTCACAAGGTCTAAACTACATGTGAATCAGCATCACAGTTTGTCAGGAAGCTCAGCTCTCTCAGCTGGGCACTGCAAAGACCATCACGATTGACAAGGCTTCTTTTTCGCTGTGGGGAGGAAACGTTGAGGCGACATAGTGTCAGAAGCAGGACAGCACCGTCCTGCTGGATGGTGCAGGGGAGAAAGCGAAGATCGAGGCCAAAAGCTGAACCATAAAACCTTTACAGAGCTGTAAGGTTTCCATTTCGCTGCGGTTATCTCGTTTGGCAGGAGAGGTGCGAAGCTATCCGTGACAGCATCGACGCATCCGTGTCCGAGTACGAAAAGGACAAGAGTTGCTCGAACTTATCGACAGTTAAACAGCTTGCGCAAGACTTCCGATCGTTTGCACCCTTGAGAAGCCGAAATCAGGACAAGATGAAGGAGCGCTTGGCGAAACTGGGTGGAGGTGTCGCAGTCATCAAGGCCAGAAGTTGTACCTGTGAGAGGTATCCTGTCTTCGAAATCATGTGGACCCAAGGTTGGTGGTTCCAGCGAGGTCGAGGTGAACGAAACCAAGGCCGCCCATGGTCCAGCTTTCATCTGTGCATTGGGCCTGTGACGTCTGCGACGAGATGCACAGGATCGCTTGAACGATGCCCTGAATGCCACGAAGGCTGCCCTCGAGGGCGGCATTGTGCCTGGTGGAGGCAGCTTGGTGTCGTCTCAGGCCTTATCTAAAAGTGGCACTCACAAACTCAGAGGAGCTGTTCGTACCCACAGCCGAAGGGCAATGGAGGCGGCTTGAATTGAAGCACGGCCTCCAAGAATGATGTCAGGCACTGCCCTTCTCTACGCCACCATGAAGCTGGAGGTCCAGAGTCGTTTGAGAATCGAAGCAAAATCGTTGGGCTCTGATGTTCACAGGGTGTCAAGCTGGACAGCCTAGACCAGCAAGTGGGAGTGGACGCCATCAAGGCTCGGGTGGCACGGTGCATGAACACGTCCCCATGCACGGCGAAGCAGGCGGCCCTGAAGCAGCCATGCATACAGATCGCTCAGAAACTCAGCAGCCAGAAGCTGGCATCAGTGGCGATGCCTCCTACACTGTCAGGTGGTTGGGAGCGCGTTTTTTTTTTGGCGTGAGAAGAGAGCATGTCTTCGAAGTGTGACTGAAGTCCGAGGAATGCTGGAGAGGAGGGTGCAGTAGTTGTGCAGACGCTCTCCAAGGACCGACCGAGCGTGACAATGGCTGACAGCTACTAAGAGTATTTGTTCAGGAGAAGAACTTGTCCAAGGGCTTCAACGCTCAGACTGGGCAGTTTGTTGATATGATCGAGGCCACATCTAGCAGAGTTTGGCTCATTTTTTCTCCATGCATCCCAGCAAGAACTCTCAGGCGGGCATCATTGATCCCACCAAAGTTGTCCGCACAGCTCTCGCTGACGCAGTGTCAGTCGCGTCGTTGATGACCACAACGGAGGCGTGCGGCAGTATCAGCGCAACAAGAGCTTGGTTCTTGGATGACGGGATGCTAAGGCCATCATTGCGGAAGAGGTGGAAGAAAAGGCCGCCGGGGAGCGCCCGCTGTCTCCATACCAGCAGGCACTTGGTACCGCAGGTGGGCAAATGACAAGCCTTTCTCACAGTTCAGGCCGGGATGAGACAAGATGGCATCGGCGGCTTCTGAACTCATGCCTGACCGTGTGTAGAGCAAAGCTGCAGAGTAGTTCCACGAAGAGTTAGAAGACATGATCTTGAACTACTCTGCTCTCGCTGCAAAGCGAAGTTTCTCTTATTGCTTTTGTGGCATTTTGGCGAACCTAGCCAGCCAGCCAAGAGGCCTGAAAAGTTAATCTGCAAATGGCAGATCCAGGGCTTTTAGGCAGGTGACAGAGCGGGTGGCGGGAGGCAGCCTCGTACCTCTGCAAGGAGCCTAGCAGCACGTGCAGTCTTCGTGTCTTTCCGAAGTGAGGTGCTGCAGTAGTTTCCAAAAGAAGGCATCAGCAGCTGGTGCGTCTGCCCTCGCCCGCAACAAGCTGCAGCGGCAGCTGAGACGACAGCTTGGCAAGAGAGACACCGGGTTCTTGGCGCGAGGTCAGGTTACCGGCAGCGGCTGCAAGAACCGGAGGCTCCAAACGCCAAGCAAGCTTTTATAGGTCGGGTTGATGGAAGCAAGGAAGCACACGGCAAACGTTTATCTGGATCGAATACGATTGCCGTCGCCGGGCTTGCCATCAGAAGCTGTCTAGAGCATTCGCGAATTTTGCATCCACCCGACTTGCACAAAAACCCTCATGTGCCTGGCGACCAGAAGAAAAAGGCTACTAAATCTTTTTTTTGTGATTTTGGCCGGAGCGCTTTATACCAAGATTGGCCAGATGGAGGGTTTGCTAGCCGTAAGCTTACAATTTTCTGATTTCTTCAAACTTGGGGGGGGGGTCTGATTTTTCTCCAAAACCTGAGAACTAAGATTAATAATGAATTGCAGAGGTTTAGGGCCGGGTGGGCTCGACCGCCGGGCCCAACCGGCCCGGCCGTGCCCCCTATGGCCGTCTTAGTCCCCGACGCCCGGCACGAGTACCAAAAGGTGCCCCCGCTACTCAACTTTTTGCCCGCCCCCCACTCCCCAAGTGCGGCCCTCCGGCCTTTATCTTATTCTATTTTGCCTTGCCTTGTACTATCTTGTTTTGCCCTGGCCTGCTTATCTGTCTCTCTTTGGTTGGCTATCTATCTACTTATTTAATTGCCTATCTAATTATTTATCATCGTTTTTTGAGATTTTTGTGTAAGATAATTTCATATTTCTCGAATAAAATACGTGTATATAATATAAAGCAATTGAATCTAGATAATAATGATTCTTAAAGATACAAAATAAATTTTGAATTGATATTGACTATTTATTTTTAAATATAGATTTTTCATATAATAATATTTAATTGATTTCTAAAATATATATATAGATATATATTACACTATAAAATGATATGATCGATATTTAATGATGGATAAAATACAATATTAATTTATAATGATATGCTTTAATAGAAAGGAAATTCGAATATATATTGATAAGGAGATAAGAATTAATTGAAATTGAATGGATATTTGCTTATGATATAGAAGATAAAATTTGGGTTATTTGAAGTATTTAATATAAATTTTATTTATTCCGAGAAATAAAATTCGAGAAAAATATCGAAATATTTAATAATGAATTTTCAAAAATATTGAATTATATTTAAATTTAATAAAGGTATTGAATAGATATTAATTCTTAATTTTAGATTATAGAATTTATTTCTAGTCGAATTTTATTTATACGGATATTATATATATAGATATTGATTTATAATTAATAAATTATGATAAGATAAATAAATTTAATTCATTAAGCAGGTTGTTATTCTTAATATTAAGCTATGAATTTAAATTAATAGATACTGATCTATAAGAATAAGAAATCGAATTTGAATAGATATCGATTTCTAATTTGAAATTAAATTTTGATATATATCGAAAGGAATTTAAAATTCTTTTTAATATTGATTCGTAAAATCATTAAAATGAATTTATTTTTAAATTGACTTGTAATATCGAGTTGAATTCGGGTAATTATCGGCCCAATCCAATATCCCCACCAGCTATGATTTGCTTGGTTACTGACTTGCAGAATTCTCGTGCTCAAATTCTTGATTTTAGCTATATAAGATTATATTTAGATTAATATAGTTCTAGAGAAATTGATATCTATAAATCTAAATCGGATGATATATATGCTTATTTATTTATATTCATATCAATATATAAAAATCCTATGATTATCTTAAATATATTTTATATGATATATCTAAGAATCAGAAGCTTAAAATCTCTTTCAATATATATCATAGGCGATCGATTGGGAAGTCACGAATAAAGATATTGATATATAGATTGCCAGATGGGGATATTTAAATATGTGCGAAATTATTAAGATCTTGAGGATTATATAATTTGAGGATCTAATGATTTTTTTTGTAAGATTTGGGATTTGGTATTTATCATCTATTCTAGAAGAAATATTTAAATTAATTTTTTTTTAATCTTCATCATCATATCAAAAGCTATCTATGATATCTATTGATTGCAATAATTTAAATGAAAAATTTATCATCTCATATATGGACTTGATCTATGAATCGTCCTAGAGGATCTGATTTTCGAGGCTATTATCTAATTCGATAATTTGGAAAGAGCGGGACAGATCTCTCCAGCTGCTCACCGATGTATGCCTTCTCAATGCATGTGTGGCATTTTTCGCTCAACAGCTGTCAGCACGGGATGCTCATGGAATGGCTAGGATTGAATATAAACTCTATTTTAGGATCCCGCAGGTTTTTCCAGCGGTATGACTTTTATACAATTTTCATGGTAAGCTCACTTGCACTACATGGTTACATGACTACAGCAGATTTGGTGGGGCACAGTCTGCTCTCTTGCAGGCTCTGCAAACTTGAAACAGTTATCAGATCTCTATCAGCCAGATTCGTTTGCAATGATTGTGGCGTGGTATGCTTGGCAACAAGTGCAGCATTTCGCTGAAGACTGGAGTTTGCGTGATTTTTGAGATATCGTGGGATTCTATTCGTTGCCAGCAACCCGCAACTTATATGTATTTGCGCAAAGGGGTGGCTGCGGTGCCGATTCCCAAAGATATTTGGGAAGTTGGAAGAACACAAGGCAAGGCTTCCAGTTCTCGTTTAGGGGTTGAACGGCTATATTCCAGGTCGTCGGCTGCGTTCTTGAGACCGATGCTGTCCGAGCTGCATTTTGGCCCGGGGAGGCCGGAGATTCCTCGGCAAGAACACGAGAGTCTGTGCGAGAGAGCTGCTGCCCAGGAGCTTTACGCTTTCTGAGACAATTTTCCCGTCTATTTGAGGGCGATCTGCTCTGGTTCAGCATTCATTCTGGCCACTCGCTCTTGGCCTGCCGTGATTGTTGACCAGGCGCACGCTGCTCGAATCTGCTGCCATGCGCTAGTCAGACCGTTTTATGGGGGTCATTGTCAAGATATTGCGCTTCTGCTTCAAGAACAAATTACACATGCCAGATCCCCAGAAACGAGTCATTGACAGCCCACCTTCGGCTGCTGCATGAGTCGGTTTACCGTTCTTTGAGGCTTCTGCGTCGTTCGATGCAAACGCTGGAGCCTGATTTGTTTGGCTGGCATGCAGTGTTGACATCATCCTACTTCGAATTACAGCTGCTTTGTGATTGTTTCTGTGGTGGAACAAATCTTAGTCAAAGCTGTGTGTGTTCGGTCTCGATGATGGCAGCTGTGGCCCCACAGGAACTGCATCCATTTCCTTCGCTTCATCCAAGGCTTACAACTGCAGCAGCCCACCCCTGCTCTCAAGTCAGAGTCAAACGAGGTTGTGGTTCCATCTTGCGTTGAATTTCATGTGCTTACAAGGGGGAGCGCCTAGACAATCCAATGGTCCACAAGGTTAGAAAGGACACTGGCTGCCGGAGTCGTTGGAAAAATTGGAAGCTCTACGGAGCGCCGACGCTTGGGGGACTGACTGGGGAAGCGTTTCATCGGGGCCTGGACCTAGCCGTGTATTTCTTCCAAGGAACGCTGCGCAGCTGGAACTCACTCCGCAGACCTCCCCAAATAGACAGCTCCTGCTTGAAATCTAATTCATTCAATCCTCTGCATTCCCCAATACCAAATCGACCACTTCCCTTCAAAAACATGCGAAAGTCTCAAGGTTAAGCTCTGATGGCCAAAGGTTAGCGTACAGATCCGAGATAGAAAAGCAAAGCCCCGCTCGAGGCTACACATGGCTGAGCAGCAGGGCGGACACTGGGAACATGCTGGGCCGGGACATCTGATTACGCATCGTTTGCAGTAGTATATTGTTCACTGCGTCGAAAAACTGAACAGCATTATGTCGCTGGCAGGACAACCGTTCCCGTGTGAAGAGGCAGTGTGGCTCCTTGTCGAATTGTGCTTTCAGAGTCTTGCTTCGGCAGGAACACAAGCCTAAACGAGAACGCCGAAAGCTGTGGCAGCGGAAATACAAGCAACTGAAGAAGGCGAGGGCAAGTCTGAATGAGGCGCAGCAAGAGATCCCCGTTCTTCATGCACTCAGGAATAGAATGCCAGGAAGCGTGAGCGGATCTCGTGGGAGTTGGACAGGCTCCGAGCCCTTTGATGCCGTTGAGTACTGCCCATAAAGAGATGTGGGATGTGCGATACACCCATGACAGTATAGAATGGCCAGTTTTCTGCATGTGAAGCCGCCTCTGTTGCTTATCCAGAGTCTTGATATGAATGAGAAAGCTCGGGCACTTTGGCCAGACGTGGATTCTTTCCTGGCCCGAGCAGCAGAAGTTATTGAAAACGGGATCGGGATAGAAGTTTCTTCAGCATGTGTATTGTCCCTTTATTGATCGTGATCGTCTTGGCGGCCGCCGCGCGTCAAAATCATCCTAAAGGTGCCGGAGCAAAGGATCTTATCTGATTATCGTGTTGACCCTTGTCTCATATCGTCTTTCCAGGTCCGAAGCAATCGCCTTCTTCGAAGAAGCGCTCGCAGCAAGCTTCCTCAACATCCAGCGCCGAAGCAGCAGTTCATCGCAGACATTCTGCTCGGTAGAAACACCCAAGGTCAACTTGAACGACCCGAAATATTCCTAATC